CGTCTCATGTTAAATCTCCTATTAACATCTCGTTAGCTACATTGAGATATTTTACAGTGATGAACCTACGGTGATACACATTGGAACTCCATCCGAAATAACTTCTCAAGTGATTATTACAAGTGGTGACAACCCAGGAAGGTTGTTACATATATGACAGTTTCACAAGTAACTATTATATCACACTAACAGTCATCTCATCATATACACAGTTGGTAAAGGTAGAGATATTATGTTCTCCCCGTTACTGTGGTATACTGGTAAAAAAGAAGAACCCATATATGGAACGTAAATATGAAATAGCAATCAAAGATATTGATATTTGTGTTACATTTACTACTACAAGGAAGAAGAATCTACGAAGAAACCGTTATACTGTTACATCTATTACAACAATAGAAAATCAGTAACGGATAACAACATTCAGGTCTATATACACATTCTACATAACAAGTCATAAGTGTTTTACGAAACCAGAAAAAAAACAAAAAACAGTGACGTGTTATATTTTCCCAACGTGTAAAATAATAGTATCCCATAGTGAGACGTTATACGTTGAGTGATTTGTGTTTTGTCATCCAAAGATGATGTACAAAATCTTTTTTTTTATATCGATAACCAATACTGAGTTAGTGATAGTTGCTGAATTATGGCATCAATCCTGTAAGCTGAGAAGAACATTAGTTTCTGCAAATGATTCATTCACTGCCCAGGGTGTGACAGGACGTGACTGCAGTTGTTGTGACTACTCATCAATCAACATTCTGTCAACAAAATTTTTTCGTATGGCGTGAGTAACCCCCAGTTACCAGCACCCCAGCACCCCCCTAGTGATGACACATCTCCGATCACGAGAGATGGTCTCAGCATTCTGAGGTATGGTGTGGTGGACGCACTAGTGTACCCAGTGAACCCCAGAGTCCTTGAGTTCACTGACAGGGAGCAGCAGCTTGCTGTACTCAGGATTTTCGTGGACATTGACCCAGTCACCGGCCTAAGCATCAGCTGTGTCGCCTGTGAGTGACACACGCAAGTCTACGGGATTGCGGCAACAATTTCACATTTTCAAGAAATTCTAGAAATGATTCTTCAATCAAGCCTACAAGGAATAGGTAGTATTTAGGCATTCATTAAATATATACACACATTTACATGTTCGCAACATAACTTTACACTGATAGGACATCATGTATGTTATATCAATTATTGTAAGTGTCTTACTTAATTTAATATATACTGACGTAATATAATTTCCAGTATTTATTTTTCACCTGTTCAGCTATTGATACTTTAATTATTTTAACTATAATTTTTTATCAATTTCCTGTAAATGGATGGACAAGGTCATTTCTTTGGTTTGTATCTAAAAAAAAATTCAAACCTTAGACATAGAAAATGCGGACTTTTTTTTTTATCCCAGGAAGGATAATAATGTTCATAATTTTCAAACAGCACATTTTAATGATGTTATAGACACATCTTCTCAAAATAAAATTATGATAGTTCTACAGTAAAGTATCACAGACTGTAATTTTCAAACTACATGTTTTAATGATGTCATAGATACATCTTCTCAAAATAAAAATATGATAGTTCTATAGTAAAGTATCAGACTGTAAATTTTCAGCCATACCGTGTAGAACCCTTCACAACTTAGTACCATTTCTCTCCGCAAATGTGAATATTTCGTAGGAAGAGTCTATAGCACCACACACTCATTTATTTAGCGTGATTACAGTCGCAAAAGTTGCACATTGCTAAGGAGGTACGTTCTTAAACACGATGTAGACGAAGATTATTTCTGCCATGTTATTACGGGATTTGCTTACCCAAGTTAGCTATATCCACTATTGTGTTGATATTGGCAGTAATGTTTGTGTTTTAAGTCAGAATCATCCAATTTTGCCATTGTACATAAGATACTAGCCCGTAAGACACTTAAGTCTAGGACCCCAGTAGTTGGTGAAAAACCTACAGTTCCAGAGTCCCCAGCTTAGTGTCAACACATATGTTTGTAACATGCTTAGGCTTATGCATAGGATGTTTATCTGCGAATTTAGTTTAGTCCTCGTGGAGCTTGGATGGTAGGTGACCGAGCAAAGTAATAGCCCCTGTTTCATAAACAGAAGCATTGTATAAATAGGTTAATTATATTTGAATTATATACTCTATCGTCCCCTGTAACTTTTCACTAGCTATGAGGTGACATGTTCAGAGCACTTGATAAGGTGTGGCCAGAGGGAAGCTGCGTCATATTGTGCTGAGTTAAGGCATTAAGTAGCCGGCTCCCTGGCCACCTAAACCGGGCAGTAGTTTGATATCCTTGACTAGAGGAAGACGTTATTTGAGAGCCATTGTGGATGGTTCCGTCTTCCATCGAGGGAGGACGATGTACATATTCCATTCTCCCTCGATGAGTCACTACTCATTGGCATTTTTACTCAACCCATCACACAGATTGGATGTATTTAGCAGGTCTATTTACATAGCTCCGTTCTTCTCTTAACACTCATGGTTACAGTGATAAGTTACGGTTGAATTACACTTTGGAACTGTATCCTCAGTAGTTCTAAAATAAAAGAATAACAGACAATTGGGTTTCGCTACTAAAACCCAATATAATATAAATGTTCCGGCCTCATTAACTTAGACAGAATCAGCACTTAACCGGCTAGGACAGGCAGCTCATCGACATGCTGCATGAAAATGGGGTCAGCATTTCATATGACAGAGTTCTACAATTATCAGCCCAGCTAGGAGAAGCAGTTGTATGCCAGTACGTGGAAGATGGAGTGGTGTGTCCACCAATCTTGAGGAAGCAGTTGTTCACGACTTCAGCAGTGGACAACATTGACCACAACCCCACTGCGACTACAGCCAAAACGTCCTTCCATGGGACCAGTGTGTCCATCTTCCAACATCCAAGCCCTGAGCAGGCTGGTGAGGAGTGTGAGCCACTCAGACGGAATGCCTACCAGGCTGGTATCATCTGGGTCCTGGCAACAATCTCCAATCCATAAACCAGCAGTCCTGTCAACTGGGGATGTTGCGCAGAAGGGAGAGGCATGGCAGATACGTTGGACGACTCTTCCCCCAAATGCGACATGCTGTCAGGAGCTGACCAATTGTTCCTGTAAGATTGACTGCAACCAGATATGCAAATGCTTTTGCTCTGGACTTTTCTCCACAGCACTTTGCAGCTGCATATGTGAACAGCAGTAAATGCACAGAGATTTACTGTCAAGAGAAGTCACAGGAACCAGTGCTAATAGTGAGTACTTTTTTTCTTCGTAAGTTCTTTTTTGTTATATTTTTTTAACTAAAAGTGTTATTTTATGTGGATAAAAATGTTACAATGGACTTAAAACTATAAAAAATCATCTGAGCACGCTTGAACACATTCATATCGACAGCAAGATCACTCAGATTGACCAACTACATCAATTTCTATAAGAAAAATCAACTTTTGAAGGTCAATATGGCGGCCATCTTTAAAAATGGCCGCCATCTTGGATTTTCAAATGGCCAATCAGGCAGACTTGACTAGTAACCATGAGAGAATTACCATGCCAAATTTGGTGCTTGTATCACCATTTGCACGATTCTCTTGAAAAATGGCATTTAGCTGCCCCACTATATGGAGCTTTGTCAGTCACTGGCTGGCCTTGGGAGTATGAAGATGTCTCAGTTTGTCAGTGGCGGATACCTTTGCAAATGGGGTTTAGTTGAGTATTAAATTCAGTGCTGCTCGATTATTATTCATGGTGTGTAAAGTGCAATTAATTATTGTGTTGTAGGGTGGTTTATTGTTTATGTACGGTACCAATAGTAGTTGTTTATTAAGGATCATGTTTATTCTTTATTCTCTTGATTTAATTTATTTTATGGAACCTACACATTTATTATGGTAAACTTTTGTTATTAAATTTTATTCAAATCTTTCGTAATGCGTATAATTCCAAACCTTCACTCCTGAACTGTTGGAATAAAGAGTGGGATGTAATTGAACCCATGTTTAAGATGTACTGCATTGTCATTTTTTTTTGCACCCTCATTAGTATATTAATCTTTAAAATAATTCAAATTGATAAGTTATAACATAACACATTGCAGAGAACTATCCAGGATCTTGGTTCAGAATTCCCCGAGAGAGCTTTTACGTGGACGACTTGCTTGTATCTGTTACTGATACTGAAGAAGCAATTTCCATGGCAAACCAGCTGCAAGAATTCTTGCAGCTTACAAAATGGATAAGTAATCACAAAGGAGTACTTGGCACTATTCCCATGGAAAAGCAGCACACCGGTATCAGGGAAGTGGCCTTCACTTAGGACAATTTGCCCACAGAGAGGGCCCTGGGAGTGATGTGGAATTTGGAAAAAGACCAGTTTGCTGGTCCAAATACGGCCTATATCAAAAAGGGGGCTTCTAAGCATTGTAAGCTTTGCCTTTGACCCGCTGGGTTTCATCTGTCCTTTTCCCATCAAGGCAAAGATCATCTTCCAGAACGAGTGCAGGAGACAAGAAAAGCAGGACATGCCTCTTCTTGACCACAACCTAGTCTTGTGACAGTGTTGGTTGTCAGACCTGAAACTGCAGCGGGATTTCCAGATTCCACGCTGCTATACACAAGTTGGTCTGAGCCGCACTGCTCTGCTCAATTGCATCATTTCTGCTACACATCGCAATCAGCTTATACAGTTGTCACCTACCTGAGGACTTTAGACCAGGAAGGAAGAATTGACTGTTCCTTTGTGTGTCGTAGAGCCTGACTAACACCTTTAAAGCAACAAACCATACCACGGCGAGAACTTTGTGCCGCCGTACTGGCAGCACATGCTGACACAACAGTGCGACATGAACTTGGTGTACAACTGGTGAACTTTGTGTTTTGGATTGATAGTAAGATAGTGTTGAAGTACTCGTATTTTAGTAATGCTGGGAAACGCTTCCACACCTTTGTTGCAGACAGAGTGTCGGCTATAAGAGAAGTCACGGACATGAGGCAATGGAGACATGTTAGCTCAGAGCAAAGCCCGGCAGATGATGCAACACGAGGAGTAACCGCTTCTCAGATGCTGGAGGAATGTCGTTGTCCAAGGTTTATAAGGCTACCTCCTGAGCATTGGCCAAAGGCACCGCAGGTTGACATGGAGCTCGAGGGCGATCTTGAAGTGAAAGGGAACGTGACTTCACTGACCTCCATAGTAGACAGGACCAAAGAACCCTTGCAGTCCCTGTTGGAAAAGTGCTCTTCTTGGCTCCAGCTTCAAAGAGGAATAGCTTGGATTCGGAGAGTTACCAACGTCTTCAAAGATAAAACGGGAGCAGCAAATATCACCGAGTTAAGTGTGTCAAAGTTACGCCAAGCCAAGACAGCAATTTTTAGAGTAATACAGAGAGAGTGGTACCAACAAGAAATGAGGTTCATTGCAAAGAAAAGATTGACACGCCCGAGTGAACTTTATCGTTTAGACTAGAACCATGCATATCTGAAGATGGCCTGATGAGGGTTGGAAGAAGGTGGCACCGTGAATGAGCGACTACACATGATGGGCCATTATTGATCCCACGTGATCACCCGGTGACTATGCTAATTGTACGAGAAACACATGCAGTACATGCAGGACATTCTGGAAAGGAGCACACTGTTACGAGTTGGGGATTTAGAATATAGTTATAAGTCTACCCAGATCCCAACAGGCAACAACACTAAAAAAAACAGACAATCGGACTATAAAAGGGTAGACAAAGGATGTGAGTTTTAGTTGTGTATAATAAAGTACCATAAATTCCTTAACAAAATATTCAACTTTCTATAATTTACCTTTAACCATACTTAACCTAAACATTAACAGTATATACATATTTATACAACATACAATAATTTGAAGCAAGGTGGAGGTGGGGAGGCAATATAAGATTACAAATACTTAAGTGCGGAGCTGAGATGGCTGACGAGAAAGGCTGAGTATTGTAGAAGACGGTAGGTAGTCACTGTGCCGTAGGTTTCCAGGATAGGAGATCCTGTGGTCACTTCCCAGAGTGAACTGAACTTTCCTCGAACTGGAGCTGATGAGGAAGACTTGGAGGAGGTGACGCAACAACCAGGATATGGAGAAGGGAAACCCCGGAGTGGTAACTAAGACTAGTCATACTCGGGTTTCGTCCCTAGATGGCGTTGCTCGTGGTGCTGGGTAGGTAGATCAGGACAATAGATGGCGTGGTTCGTAGTGCTGGGTAGGTAGATCATGACAATTGATGGCGTGGTTCGTAACACACCCCCCCTCCATAGACCTCCGTAGTGTGGGCGCGAAGGAGGTGATCACCTGGTGCGTCTGGAGAGTAGCTGCTGCATTTCCACTGGAGCTCGGGATAAGGAGTCCGCAATCAAGTTGTCCACCCCCTTTATGTGCCGGACTTGTAGATTATAGGGCTGGGTGAGGAGAGCCCAGCGTAGGATTCGCTGGTTGGAGGTCTTGTTGGGTTGGATGAACGTGAGTGGGTTATGGTCGGTGAAGACTAGGGTTATTTGTGGGCAAGACTGGAGGTAACATTCAAACTTCTTTATTGCCAACACCAGAGCTAGGGCCTCCTTCTCTATGGTCAAGTAGTTGGTCTGATGTTTTTTCAACTTGGCGGAGTAGTATGCCACAGGGTGAAGGACATCAGTGGTTGTGTCGGGTTGTAGGAGCACAGCCCCCACTCCGACACCGCTAGCGTCGATTTGCAGATGGAAGGGCAAGGTGTAGTCAGGGGGGTGGACTACAGGCTTGGAGGCAAGGAAGGCTTTGAAGCGGTGGAAAGACTGGTCGCACCTCTGGTTCCAGATGTAAGGGACCGCAGAACTGGTAAGGTCTGTGAGGGGTCCGGCCACGCTGAAGAGGTTGCTGCAGAACCAACGGTAGTAGCTGCACATCCCCAGGAAGCGCATGAGTTCCTTCCTCGTCCTTGGAGTGGTGAAGGACAAGATGGCTTTAACGTTTGCCTCCTTGGGTCTCACCATACCATGCCCAACGATATGTCCCAGGTAAGTCACTGAGGCCCGGCCAAAAGCAGATTTAGCCAGGTTTATGGTGAATCCAGTCTCTTGCAGTCGTGCGAACAGTATCTCCAAACGCACCAGATGTTCGTCCCAGCCGTCCGACACCACCACCAGGTCATCCAGGTAGGCGAACGTCCCACCTAGGTCCTGAATCAGGCAATTGATTGCCCTCTGGAATGTGGCCGGAGCATTAGAAAAGCCAAACGCCATAACCAAATATTGAAAAAGACCAAATGGAGTTATAAATTTTGCACAGCCTATGCTGTCTATTATATCTTCAATCAAAGGTAAAGGGTAGGAGTCTGAGACAGTGACCTGGTTCACCTTACGATAATCGGTACAGAAACGAAAGGTGCTATCGGGTTTTGGAATGAGAAGGCAAGGTGAAGCCCAGGGGGAGGTACTAGGCTCAGCTAAGTTATGTTTTAACAAAAAAAATCTACCTCCTTTTTCATAATCTCTCTTTTTTGTGGATTTAGTCAATATGCTGATTGCCTAATGGGTTGTACATCATCTGAGATTAGCTTAATATCATGTTTAAGTATATTGCAAAACCCTGGGAGGTCTGACGTGACTTTAGGAAATGTTGATAATAATTTAGTGAGATCTTTTGCTTGAGATGGATTCAGAACAGAAAAATACTCATCCAAGTTGTTGAGTATGTGACTGTTAGCAGGGTTTTCTTCAGGTAGAGGGAAGTCTAAATTCTCCAATAGATCCATGTCATCTGTCTCCGGCTCCGGCCCTGACAAAACATATGCAATACAGGTAAGCTTATAGCCTCTGGGATGTCTTCCTCTGACTGCCTGGAATGGTAAAGTTTCATGAGATTAATGTGAACAAGTTGTGAATCTTTTCTGCGATCAGGAGTATGGACTATATAGTTGAGGGGAGATAGTTTTTAGCATTGATTTGAATGTTTTGATGGAAGCGTTCCAAGCAACCTTGGGATTGTGGGTGGTAAGCCGAAGATGTACAATGGTCCACACTGAGGTCTTTCATATTCAAAGATGGATCAGATTGTTGGGCTTTAATGAGCTCATCCTTACTAATGGTCTTATTGTACAGATCTTCTGTGGGTAGGAAGATATTGGAGGTGGTTTTAGATGAAGAAGGCCCATTTCGCACACTCTGTGACCGGGTGACAGCACAAGATGGGAAAAGGTGAGGAGTAGTTTCTTCAAGGTCAGTGGTGGAGTTGACAGGTAAGGGAGAGTCGACTGTCTTTATGTTGGCAACCACTAGATCTCCTACCAAGTCATTACCCAATAATAAATGAATGCCGCTCACAGGCATTGGATCTTTCCTAATGGCTATTTGCACTTCCCCAGTAATCAAGGGACATTGGAGGTGCACTTTAGCTAAGGGATAGGAAGAATGGGATGAGAGATCTGAAATTAGAACACTCATTAGTAAATGCGGTAGATATATCAGGAATGACGTTAAACAGGAGGATAGATTGTGCTGCGCCCGTATCACGTAGTATACGAATAGGGAAAGAACGAGACCCCTCTATGATTGAAATTTTTCCCTCATAGGTGAATGAAGAGAAGAGATCCTGATGGGGCCTTTCCACATTGGTGGTTGCTATTGGTTTGGATTTGGGATCCAGGGAACTACTTTTAGCAATTCGACACTTTGGGTGTTTACATGACTGGATCGTATGGCCTGGGTTTTTACAGTAAGAACAATAAAACTTGGTTGCATCAGGGGGGGTAGGTGTGGGACCTTTCGACCTACCACTCACGCCCCCAAGGTTATCATCAGAGGAGGACCTAACATGTCGGAAAGTACCACGTTCCCTACGGCACAGTGACTCCACCAGCAAGGCGTACGCATCAGCCAGCTCAGCCGCACGCCCTAAATTAACCTCTCCACGCTCCTCCACATGCTTCAAGATGTGAAATGGTATCTTGCTCTTCCACTCCCCCAGGACTACCAAGTTTAACAAATCCTGAAGTGGCCATTGTTATGAAAACCTAGATAAATTAACTAATGGTCAAAAGATAAGATAAGTGGATTACCCTAGAAAATATCACGGCAGTGGATAACCAGAAAATCCCGGAAACTACCCAAGTTATACCAAGGGAAATTCACTTATGAATATTGTCCTTCTGAGAAGATCCTTAGATAAGGATAAGAGACTTGAAAGAGGAAGGGCGTATTATGGCATTAATATAAAGATCCGGATTAACAACCGTTAGATACTTGAAACAGGAAGGGCGTATTACGGCATTAATATAAAGATCCGGATTAACAACCCTTGAGTTACTTTATGATCGACCCCGAATGAGATAATGAGAAGAACAATAATTGAGGCTTTATAATTATGGGGTCCTGGTAGAGCGGGGCGTCCCAAGATATCACTTCACCCTAAACTAGTGACTATGGAACAGCCTACTCTGGAGCGAGGGTACGTCATTAAACAGATCCGGATTCTTCCCTACACTCGATAAGACTTACTACACGACTGCCACGTGTAATAACAGGTAAGCCTTATGACACTTGGAACCTAATATCCTATGTCTGTCACTCTTACTGTACGATAATACCAATATATGCACACACATATGAAGGAACTTTAAACCACCGTAAAGCAATTGTGAACAGAAGTGACTGGGAGGAATAATTAACAAGGAGTAACGAGGGGGGAAGAAATATGGCACTTAATGTTGGGTCCTGTCACGGTCGCCATTTGTACGAGTTGGGGATTTACAATATAGTTAAAAGTCTACCCAGATCCCAACAAGCAACAACACTAAAAAAACAAAGACAATCTGACTATAAAAGGGTAGACAAAGGATGCGAGTTTTAGTTGTGTATAATAAAGTACCATAAATTCCTTAACAAAATATTCAACATTCTATAATTTACCCTTAACCATACTTAACCTAAACATTAACAGTATATACATATTTATACAATACTACAATAATTTGAAGCAAGGTGGAGGTGGGGAGGCAATATAAGATTACAAATACTTAAGTGCGGAGCTGAGATGGCTGACGAGTAAGGCTGAGTATTGTAGAAGACGGTAGGTAGTCACTGTGCCGTAGGTTTCCAGGATAGGTGATCCTGTGGTCACTTCCCAGAGTGAACTGAACTTTCCTCGAACTGGAGCTGATGAGGAAGACTTGGAGGAGGTGACGCAACAACCAGGATATGGAGAAGGGAAACCCCGGAGTGGTAACTAAGACTAGTCATACTCGGGTTTCGTCCCTAGATGGCGTTGCTCGTGGTGCTGGGTAGGTAGATCAGGACAATAGATGGCGTGGTTCGTAGTGCTGGGTAGGTAGATCATGACAATTGATGGCATGGTTCGTAACAACACACTTTCATTCTTGGGTCAAATTTTCTGGATACTTAAGTGTCGTGGTCTGCTGGATAAGATTTCCAAGGCATGCACTGTCTGCCGTCGCAACAACTGGGTGTACA